CATTTAACCTAATAATTATTTTGATGAAGATGTATTGCCACATCATCAAAAAAATTAAAAAACAATGCCACATGAAATTATTTAACTGCCACATCATACTTGACTAACGAAGGGACTAAAACTGTGCAATTTTTAAAGTTAATGGATCAAAAAAAAGTAAAAAATTGTTAAGAGACCAAAAATATGCATTTCGTAAAGTTGAGAGACTAAATTTAGCATTTAACCTAATAATTATTTTGATGAAGATGTAGTCCACTTCTTTTTTCTGCCTTTTTTTTGAGAGAATTCCTTTTTCTGCCTTCTTCCAACTCTAAAGACTCCAAAGTTGACTTTTTCTTTTTCTTTTATTCAATTGGTCGTGTATTTTAAGCAAAATTTTTTTAAGAAAAAATACAGCTTGGTGGGTGGAATTGGACTTTCCAGCCATGATGGTTACAATTGCACTTCATCACGGAAAATACTTCCAACTGGTTCTAGTTAAGAAAATTGTCAAAAAATCTGGTTCTGGATGGAAATTGAAGAATAGGTGATTTACAAACAACTCATCTCTTCCAAAAAAGGGAAATAAAAAAATTAAATGAAGATGATGTCAGAAGTGGGATTTGAACCCACGCCCTCTTCCGAGGACCAGAACTTGAGTCTGGCGCCTTAGACCACTCGGCCATCCTGACATTGACGCTCTTAATTAAAAAAAAAAATGTTTAATAGTCTTTTGTAAACGACAAACCATTCTGCGACATACCCAATTTACTGGAAGGTAGAAGAAAAGCATTAACTTGACACTTTTTGTCTTCATATTAGTGATGAAGATTAAAGAAATGTTTGCCTTATTTCAATGAATGAAAAGGAAATCCCCAAAAATCATCAATCACTCACTTCATGCTACGAGTTAGTTTTTACCACGTAATGCTACCTCTCCCTTTTAATTTGATAACAAAAGAAATCAACAATCACAAACGTTTTCTTCAATGAAACGAGGAACAAGATTCTGTTAAGAGTAGCAGCGTCGCCATAACAATTGAATCTGGGTGATTCCTGTCGTATAAAATGAATGCAGAGAAAGGTTGGTACTGAATAGGGAAGTAACGATTTACACCAGCAGTGAAATCTTAGCTAGCATTACAGCTACACATGTTTCTGTCTCTAACATTACTGAAGAAGCATGCGCATGCAGTTACAAACGCATTTACAAACATTCATACAAGGGACTGCTTTTGATCAATCCTGTTTATACTGTGAGTGTAATACATTTTATATTTGGGTGAGTGCATAATCTAATCCAAGGCTTTGCAGCATTGTTCTCTTCTTCTTTACGAGCAGTTTGTGTCATAACTTGCAAGACCCAGCAATTCTGGACCTTCCAGTCGAGGGTTGTTCTCAAAGCTGCAAGAATTGACACAATATAAAGAAGTGTTACTTTGGCCACAGCAAACAGAAGAGCTATTAAAAGCTGTCAGATAACACTATGCAGCCAGCAGAAAATAATAAATCACAATCCTTCAATGTGCACCATGTGGAGATAAGATAAGCACAAAACCCCATCAGAGATGAACTTGGAAGCAATGCAAGTTGCAGTAGATAATAAAATTACCATGAATAACTCTTCCATTGAAAAATAATCAGCTAAAAGTAGCCATTCGTTGTTTTCCACAGCATAATAGAGCCAAAAGTCATACTAGCATGTTTGCTTAATGTCCCTGTCTAAGTCTAAACAATGTATGATTACCTTAAGCCATTTATGATTCTTAGCTCAAGATAAACAAGCGCATATCAACAAAATGTTAAAGAATAAAACCACATGTTGAGTTTCATATGCATAGAGGAAGACAGCATCTGGTCACAGCGAAATCATAACACATAATTTTATAATGCAAAGGTGAAACCAAACAACAATGGCACAAGACATAATCCACCCACCCCCCCAAAAAAGAAAAAAAATCTAGAATCTATCATAAGCAATGTGGAAGACAAATAAGCATCCTTTCAAATGTTAAAAATCTGTCTTTATGCATAAACATGTTTGTGCTGGGTAAACAGTAACTCTATGGCAATTGGCAATTAACCAAAGAAAGAAAAATATGCATTTATAGGGGGCAGAGAGCTGAGAGAGGGAGGGATTACTTGTTAAGAGGAATGTGCTCAAATGGTCCACTGGTAGGAATTGTTCCACACAGATCATTGGTCGACACATCACTGGGGAAAGGAGCCAAATTTTTTTATCACTATAAGACTAATATTGCAGAAAGTAATACCATTATCTAGTTCACTACAAGGTAACTTACACAACTTTGAGGCTAGACATGCCAACAAGTTCCTTGGGGATTCGTCCAGTTAATCTGTTGTCATTCAGTCGTCTGACAAATTCAAATAATGATCAGATATGGACCAGCAGCCAGACGTCACTATGCTACATAAACTAGTTAGCTGAGGAAAAGAGCAAGAAATGGCTAATGCACTAGTTCAGCCTAAAATACGAGAAAAACCAGTTTAAGGCTGAAACCTAATCTCAGTGGCAACCGTAAGATTGCTCAGGTTTATTACTAAGGCACCCTGAATTTAAACCTCCAGGTAAATCTATTATCTGATTCATTTTTCAGGTCAACCCGATAAAAGAGTGCAAAATTGGAAACAAAGATGACAAGACTAAAGTTAGGCTTGAAGAAACTCACAAGAATACAAGTGACTTCAATTTCCCAAAAGATGGAGGTATTGTCCCTGAGATGTTGTTATTATACAGATCAAGACTGATAAGGCTCTTCAAGTTACCCAGCTCGGCAGGAATAGTTCCTTGAATGTTGTTTTTGTAAAGTTCCCTGCATTGTAACAGAGTAAAGGTTCTCAAGTTACAAACAATGGCTGAAAATTAACAAGAAGTTGTAACGGGTGTTGAGTATAACTTTAAGGCGGGCACCCGTTCACTACATACCTAACAAGCAAGCATCTTCAAACAAACACTAAATAGACCAAGCAAACATGTATAGTAACTCCACACATCAACAGGAGATAAAATATGAAAACAAAAGGGGGAAAGACGTTTAAGTTAAAGCACTTACAGATACTGCAAATGTTCAAGCTTCCCAAGTTCAGGTACCAGATGTCCAGATAGGTTTGAGTTACCTAAATCCCTGCAAGAAAAAAGAAAAAAGAAAAAAAAAACCAAATGCAAGATGCTCAGACAAAGCACATCACAAGTAATTAAACCACAGTAGCTGATAGCTTAAACTCGGTTTAATATAGTTCTAATTTTGGGTTTTTAGTTTTACTTTTCATAAATTTTGTAATTTTTTAAAAATCAAAATAAAAAATTAATAATTTATATAAAATAAGTTTTTAATACTAATAATAAAAAATATAAACTTGTTTAATAGTATAAATTATTTTTATTTTTATTTTTATTTTTTTAATAATTATAATAATATATTACAAAATACATAAAATTAAACCAGATTTTTTTATTTAAAATTGTAAAATTTATAAAATCAAAATTAAAAACACAAAACCACAACCATACCGAAAAAAAAAAAGCTTAATATGACCCTCCCTATCTACATAGATACCGCAGAAATTCTAAATTCTCAGCAAATACCAGGAAAGCAAATAAGCAATAGCGAATATTCCTAATAAAGCCAGAAAAATATAGATAAATCCAAATTCAAGACAACATATCCTCAGCGGATGGAGAAAGGAAAGGGATAGATTGCATACAGTCTAGTGACGCGATTTTGTAGGTCGCAGGTGATGTGAAACCAAGTACAGGGATTGACAAGATTCGGATCCCAGCTCTGCAACACGTTATCCGGATCGGTCAAGCTCTTTTTCAGAGTGTACAGAGCGTCTCCTTCGGAGTTCCCATGCACCAAGGAGATCAGAGTTAAGGTCATGGTCGCAGAGAGAGTCCACAACCAGGTAGGTACAGCCATGGCTGATGTTGGCTCGGCACCGCCTCTAGGATTTGGGTTTATCGTTGCGGAGGAGACAAAGACTTCCAATGGAGAGAAAGGGTCAAGATTCTACCAAATTTCTAAATGATGAAGGTTGGCCATGGAAACAGTAGATAAAAGAAACATGGCGCTTTCATTTTCTCTCAGTGTTTTAATATCAAATTTCTATTTTACCTCTTAGTTCCCTCTTAGTTTTTAAAACGAAACAATATGCTTACCATTTGTTGTCTTATTTCTAAAAATTATGAGGAGAAAAAATAAAAAATATTTTAATTTATATTTTAAAAATAAAATATTTTAATTTTTT